CCCGCTCTCCGAGTCCTGCGTGAAAAATTTGCGCGCACACAATTTTGGGTAACTTCCAATACTTCTAAATATATTTGACCAGAATTTCCGATTTGTAAGTGTTGATATTTTACTTTATTGATTTAATTAATTATTTGAATGTTCCAAACACCTAATTTACTAACATTTCAATTTGAACGTAATTTGTTTTTGATATTCTACAATTTCAATGCAATTTTTATCTACTCTGTATTTTCTGCGAGATTTTGATTTAGCCTACATAGATTTTGATTTTGCATACTTCTCAAGAACTATTGAAAAAGCCTATTGACGAAGCACCTCCTGGGCATGCTAAGTGTATTTTCTGCGAGATTTTGGTTTAGCATACTACTCAAGAACTATTGAAAAAGCCTATTGATGAAAAGTTTTTAAAAAATGAGGTGCTACACGAGTGTCAGGTTGTCACCGCACTTTCTTAAAAAAGTCCTAAAAATGTTTCAACAATAGGCTTTTTCAATAGTTGTTGAAAAGTTCTATAGTTCCCGGTCTCGTTCTAAATGTTGCTTTGGGACCATCGGTGAATAGCGGAGAACCTCTGCCCACCGAGGTACTTGTTCGTGTTCACGTTTAACTCGGCTACGACGGGATTCGCATTGTCGACGGAGGCGATGATCAGAAAATCCTGCTCCGAGACTCGCCGTTACGATTTAGCGCCATGATTTTGGTATCGCCTAAAACCGTAGCGTTGTGCATCTCCATGCTGATCTCTGATCCCACTCTTATTTTCCTTCATACGGTGGGATTCAAGTTTTCATCATTAGTACTAGGATTGTGGGGTAAAAAAAAGAAAAAAAATGTCGCTGGACCAAACAGTATGTGAAGGTAAAGATGAATATTTGGGAAGAGTAGGAGACTGGGTGATACTCTTCGCTGTACGCCTTCATCAGTAAACGTGAAATTAGTGTTACTATTGAGAGGTTATCCACTATATTCTTAACCTATGACCTTTCAGACTTGAAGGCCTTCGAGAGACGGCTAACCGAGGTTATTACCAGTCTTCAACCATCGACACGTCGATGGAGAAGTACGTTAATTGTATTCATTACATACCTTATGATTCATTACCATCCACTGCACGCAGTCCATATATTTCCAAATGAAATTTAAAGTAGTACTTTATTTAGAAATCTTGTTCTGCAATTCTTTATTTGCTGTACAAATAATTTTTACTTTATTGGAGTCTCGGTGATGCACTTTAACACAATTTGTATATAACTGGAAACATTGTATTCATTATTCTAATAGTCCCATCTGAATCTCATTGTCTTAAATGACTGTTTGTTAATCCTAAATCCGCATTTATCATTCTATTTAATGTTGCATTGCTGTGCTTGATGCTTGATCATCTAATATTAAATACATCATACATGGTCTAGTCCTGCTTACAGTGCTCCTGGGATTCATCTCGGTTTGTACAGCAGTAGGAGCGTGGCATTGGCTCACAGATCCAAATACATCAGCAGTTTCCTTCACACAGAGTCTGTGTAATCATCCGTTCTTTACACTGGCCAGTATCTTACTAGGTAAAATATATAGATACACATGTTTTATAATTTGTACACAATGAAAATGATATTGAAATATTTTTTAGTGATACTATTTATGATGGGTGTACACAGAAGAGTTATAGCACCAAGCATAATAACTCAACGTGCACGTAATGTATTGTGTGACTTCAATATGAGTTGTGACGATACAGGGAAGTTAATCCTGAAGCCAACGAGACCAACCCATCCGCACGAAACGTAGAGAAAATTCATAGCTATAACTAGTTTCCAAAACGTGTTCATACTTGCCCACCATAGTATACAGAGAATCTTGGAATAATGTATGTCCTTAATTTGTATCGCAGAGTAGTGCGCAAGTAATTAATTCAGAGCAACACTTTTTGAATTACGTATTGCTTGTGTTACAACCGCGCGTAAAGATAAGGAATAAGTGTAATGAGAATATCATTCGCATACATTCATTCCAAACATTCTGTTCTAGCAATATCGAACCATGCAGTTTGATGACTATGACAATAGGCAAGTAATTTTCAGTTACTGATTTCCCATAAGCCAGGTGATGGATACTGACAAAAGTCTGACCTCGTGTCCGCGTTTATATTGGCAGGTTCCAAAAAGAAGTGTTTTAGAAAAAAATTAATCAGCTTCGATGCGTACTCTTTGGTGTGCTAAAGAATATTCTATGCAGTCACAGTGAACTAGAAACAAGAACGTAAAAGTAAGATTGCATTCTCGATTACGCGAAATTATTAACTCCGAAAAAATGGAATCCGATTGGAATTATTCCATATTTCCAAAATTGTTGCCGATAGCTCTTGTCAAAGCGTGTTGCAGAACTACTCAAAGTGGCATTGAGAATTATTTTACAAATACTTAAAACGGTGCTTGATAACCTATGTGTGCGATAAGTATATACTCGATTTTTTCGATTGTACAATGAGAAGGACAAACGATTGATGAAGCCTGAGGGGCTGACTGTAAATTTGTTAATATGTATTTAATTAAGTCGAAGCTACGCAGATTATGCCGATACACAATCTAGAAAAACTTATACACAATTGTATTTATTATGATAAATGTAATATAGATTTTGTTTACAAATAACGTTGTACTTATTTATTGTAACCTTGTAGTGTATTTTTTTAACAGTAAGAAATCAATGGGTCAATCTAATTAAAAAAGAAAAAGAAAACTTACCTACAATCTAACCTAAAGTGGCGAGCGCTCCCGCTTGAATGAGCTAAACTATTGATAAACTTCTAAATATATACATTGTACACCCACGTTTGTAGTTAAGAAAATTTTCAAAAATTTTGACCTGAAAGAACGAATAAATCAAGAAAAAATTTTTCCAACTATCTTAACGTTGAAAACATTTATTCGTATTAATAGTCTCCACAATATTACAATTTAAGCGATACATAGTCTCGCATTCATTCGCCATCATCATCTCTTAAAATAATACATGTACAATAATATAGCTTTTACGCTGGTTATTACATTCTCTTCCGTCCCAAAATTTCAACCAAATCTATTATTAGGTTTTAGGAAGTGTTTTTTTTTTGTTCAGTCCCGCAATCGTGTCAACTAGATACGAAATATGTACAAGGATAAAGGATTTGCCATAGTTGCATGGCAAAAATAGTGCATCACGCCCTAAACGATTTTTCCCGACAAATAATCGGCCAATTAAAATAGAAAAAAAATACAACTGTGCGAAAACAGTTCAAATTTTTGACCCATCAAAAGACTCCCAGTGCACAATGAAAAAACATTATGTGCTCATGTTTTTCGTTTCCTTCAATTTTCCATTTTCTATCAAATTATCTACCCCTTATCAGGCCTGCACACGTTTACGTCTGGCAAACTATCCAGCCCCTACATGTGCGTCCATGTCTTTTGTGCTCGCAAAACCAGTGCAATTGATTACAAATTCCCAAAGAAACAGAAAAATCGACGATGCATTAGAAAGTTCACACGAGTAGTGAATTCGGATTGGATTTAAAAGAAAAGATCCTTTTCAAGCACACGAGATAGACGCACGGAAACTTTTGATTTTGTAAGACTACAAAAAGATTCGAATTGCGTCTAGGATTGAAAAACAAAAAGAAAAATATAAGAAGTTGAATAATGGATGACATCATCAACGTGTCGTTCACAATGACGTGGTAGGACGAAAAAAGACAAAAAAAAACCATAGAACGAAGAAAAAGAAAGAACAAAGAAAGCCGAATCCCTCCGCTCGTACCAAGGGCCATTTTCAAAGTGACTCAAATTGACCAATGGCGCTTCAAGACGATGTAACACAGTTTCATCAGTTACTTGTTCTCCCAAATACCGTGATAAATTGCTTAATTTTAATCAGGAGACAAATTGCGAAGGCAGTCCGGTATTAATTCTTGGGCAAGCAGAAGAAAAAAGAAGGCGATACAAGTAATATCGGCTTTTAATTTTTTTTGTTTTTTTTTATCATTTCTTTGTTCTAATTCACTTTCTCCTTTACAACAAAAGTCTGCAATTTTACCTCGTGGTCATTCTTCTCTTCTTCTCCGCGTTCCATCTCGATTTTAGCGAGGAATTTCGTCCTGTAGTCAGCCAGGGACTTCCCCGTAGATTCAGTCGGGTTCCTGTGTGATGTCTAGGAAGTTGACTTGCAGCTGCATTACTCTTCGCCTGGAAACACGAGGTCTACCTCGTGCTTCAACGAAGATCTTCAGCTAGTGAAGAGAAAAGAGATCACCGGCTGAAGGCAGTGGGGCTAATCCACCTGTGACGTCTGGCAGCTGCGTCAGATCCGGAAGATTTGAAATGTGAGACTTCACTTCTGATCGTACAGAGCATATCTTCTTCAGTTTCTCCTTGTAGTCCTGAAGAATACAATATGCAGTTATTGTTGTGTACAATTTATTTTTTTTTTATTATATCAACACATTATTTCATCATCTTCTACAAGTACAGAGAAACTTACCTCGAGCGTCGTTTGGGCCTGTTGAAGTAATTGTTTCTGTAACAGCGTGTAATCCCTCAGCATTGTTAATAATCTTCTTCTGTCTTCCATCTCAGCCTGCAGTCTGCCGTTGTAATCAGCTAACAACGCTGCCGCCTCATTAACAGCTACGCTTAATTGATCAGCTGCTGACCTGTCAGCTAAATTAGCCAATAGGGATACCTCCGACACTTCTGGAGGTAACGACGCTATGCGTTCTCTGACACCGGCGTCGGAAGATGCTGTGTTCTCCAAATCCTGTAATGCAAGTACAGATTAGTTTTTGCATATACTTACTAAGACTGATAATATATATATATTCTATATATAAAGGTGCTTCGTCGTGTATGTTTAAAAAAACACAATTTTGATACTTTAAAAGTATCGGACCTGTGTCATTTTGGGGAAATATAATTCCTGAAATTGCGTTGTGTCCTTCCTCCCCCCCCCATGTAGACGCGATGAAAAAATAAAAATAATAAGTAAACAAAATACTTTATTTAATAGGATAACGGCTAAACAAGTCACACGAGACAATTTGATGATGCGTTATTCGCGTAATCCTTTCACGAAGCTTTTTTTTTTTAGTGATTAACGTTTGAAATTTGAAATTGGTTCAACAAAAATATGAAATTGGTATAACCATAGCCATCAGCTCTGCAATCGTTCGCGTTCGAGGAATCACGTACGCTATCGGGCATTTGCTTTTGCCATTGTACGTGTATTTACGCTGTCGCCCCATGGACTGAACACCGCTTGTTTTCATTTTAAGGTATTTTATTGGTGTCGGTACATAGTCCTTGACTTTGTCGTAGAAAGAAGGAACATTATTAACCATTAAAGCTTTGACGAGCTCCTCAGTTTCCGGGGGATCCCCGGCTGGCGTGCGAGGACTCAAGGTAACATGAAGCTCTTTGGTACCATCGATTTCGACTTCGGTCTCCGACTTTTTTCTTTCTTTTTTTTCCTTCTCTTTTTCCTTTTCCCTCTCCTTGTCCTTCTCCCTTTCCCTCTCCCTCTCTCTTTCCTTCTCTTTTTCCTTTTGCTGAAAGACAAAAAATCGAAATTATACATACATATCGAACGTATATGCCTTGATACAATTATTTTTAAGTTAAAACGTTTTTTCTTTTTGGAGAATTCCAAAATTTGTTCTTCAATATGTTTTGTTACCTTCTCTACGTCAATTCTTGGTTTCTTTCTAGGCGGCGGTGTTACTGAGTCCTTGACGGGGTCCGATGCTGAATTAAAAGATGCTTTGAATTCGGCTATCTGTGTTTTGTCATAGACACCACGTTCTTCCCAGATTTGAAGTAACCTGTTAAGACGTTCTCTGGTCTTTTCGTCGAACCTTTTCATGTGCTCGAAAGCTTTCGGTAAAACGGTTGCGAATTCCTTTCCGAACTCTGGACCTTTCTTCTTACTGTTTTGTATAACATCGTTCGCCAAGTACATAAACATCAATTTCCGATTATCTTTCACTGAAAATAAAAAATAAAGCACACACAATAAGTCACACCCGGTGCTAACGATGTTTTTAAATTTGTTCTGGCACCACTGAAATCGTAGCGTAACGTAAAATGATTTTAAAAAATACAATTTTAAATAAAAATAGAAATTCAACAACAATACCCGTTCGCACTATCGAGTCATCATTGAGGAAAAATGATATTTTTCAAATTTTTTATCTATTACAGTCGAAGTAACTAATTCTTGTAATATGCGTTCAGGAGTAAAAAAAAGGGCCCAACGTGGTCGGCGTATTCAAAAATACTTTTACAGCAAGGTGTTGCGTCATTCCGCAAGAAAATTAACGAAGCTTTACAGATTTTCATAAAACTGAATAATATGATAAAATAATATGTCAAAACAAGTACAAAACAGCGATGGAAAATTCAAAAATGATGCACTGTAAATTGTTGGGAAACGATAGAAAAGAAGAACAAGTAATAAACCCAAGTCGCAAAGAATATGGTGCAACAACAATTAACAGTACAAAAGAATATCTAAGAAAAGTGAACAATTGTTGCGTTAATAACGATTTAATTACTAATGCGTATTTGAGCCAAACACGTAGGCCGTTGCGTAGCAAACGATCGTGTGTTCTCTAACCTAGAAATTTCGAGCAGACCCCGGATAGACGAAATAGGAACTAATTGGATCAAAGGAGTGACGAAATTTGGTGAAATTCAAAAATAAAATCTTACCAAGCAATAAATAAATGTAATTAATTAAACGACAAACAACTTACCTTTACACATCTCCTTGAACCAGACTTTAACGATGGTCGGATGGTGTTTCCTGTGATGTATCAACCACAGCGAGAGTGTCTGTATACTCTGTTGCGAAGGATTCAAGTCCATAAGTTTCTTAACAAGAGCACTTTCCGTAAAACCAGCCATTTTATGTTAACTTATAATATTTAGACACTTTCAATTAATTCAAAGAGTGACGGAAAACTGTTAACAACGAGCGCAGTACACTCCGCAACTGTCTAGTAGAATTCGTGGTAGCATCTACCACGACTACACTGCTCAACAGCTGAACAGCAACTGAGGTTCAAAGATGCCATATAGATGTCACTAGCGTCTACATTGATTTCCAGCGCCTCTATCGGAATTTCCTTGCAACATAATAAGAATAGGGTTTCCACCGAACCTACAGGCAATAATGATTATACCGACCATAAAACTATACTCTATCCTTAATCCCGCATATTCCGATCAGTGTCCTACAACCGGCATTGACAACTTGCCACTTCCTGATTTTTATTGCAGGGTTAAATTTTACGAGGGCGCCATTGTCCCTGTGTTAAGCTGTAACATACGATACAGGGTGGTTTGCATTAGATTTAATATGACAAGCAGTAATTAGGTATCCAACTTGTTAAAGCTGCTCCGTTATTACCGTGGAAGAGTTTTCAAAGTTTTTAAACTTATTTGAAAGTCAAGGATCCAAGAGGATACCGTGGAACGAGAACCCTGACTAGAAGATATATAGGAAGTCTTCTTACGAAACAAAGAGGAAATCGTAAGGACGAGGAGAGACGAAGTGCCTTAAGGATTTCTGAAGAGTGCGTAACAACTCGGAGGTATATATATACATATTTAAGAAGCAGTAACGTCAAAAGCATAAATGAATTATCTAGAATGTATCTGTCTCGCGCAGACATTTCTCAGTTTATAAGAAAACGTTCAGTACATAAGGGTGAAACCACTCGAATAGTCTGTAATAATGGGGACGCTTTTGAAACGTGAAATGTAAATATTTGAAAAGATATCGAAAGTTTACCAATATCATTGAGCATATTAAGATTAAGTGATTTTTTTAAAGGGGCAAATATGACACGCGCTAACATTTTTTTTATTAAAATTCGGTCCTTCTCATCGTTTCCACCTTGCGACAAAATAACGGTAAGTAATAGCGTCACGGGGCAGGGGTAGTTTTACAGAGCGTCATGGTTGGTCAATTTCTCAAAGCAATAATCCGGTATCGCAAGACGCTATTGCGTTCCGGCCCGTAAAGACATACATCATTGGTGTAATATACTTTTACAAGTGGAATAATTAGAAAGGGGGGTAACAGATGTCCGATCGAAATCTCAAAAGAGACAAAACGTGATTCTCCATTTGAGCAATAATTAGGTTATTTTCTTTAATGGCTCTTGGTATCCAAATCACACAGTTGTACCAACTTTACGACTGGTTCTTATGCCTGTGATTTTATTGCCAGATACAATATATGCGCCCCTATGTACAAATAGTGTTTAGTAAAAACAGTTAATGATACTGGATTTATATAGCGGATATACCAACACCGTTAACATTCAAGTACAAGTTTTTAATTAAAGTCTCATGTATTTATCGAACGATATGGTAAAAAGACAAAATGGAATTGAGGCAATAAACATGAGCCGATAAAATGATTGCAGATCAAATTCACCCTTGGATATGCTTCTAAACCTTATCGACCTCAAGATCCCTCAAGATGTCGGAAGGGAGCTGGTGGTCTTCCAAATCGAGTATAACTTGAAGGTGGGAATAGCCTCAGGTTAAGATTTGGCTGTACTCCTGGTATCGGTGAATGATGGCAAATGGATTGTCTGATGAGAACGGTGAGCGCATCAATTTCGGATAAGATCCTTTAAAGTTGATTAGGATTGTCGTAGAGGTACCGGAGTCTCTATCCTGAGTTGAGACAACATGGGCTTCTAGCAGCTGGACGAATGGAAGTAGAAGGCTGAGAAGATGAAATAAAAAGAAGATAAAAGAAGGGGAGAAGGAAAGAGAGAGAGAAGAAAAAGATTTAAGTGTAAAAGAGACGTGAAACAGGCTACGGGTCCACAGGTTAACGGTGGTACCGGCTCCAGAAGGAGGTCTCGTGCCAAGTGTTAGATATGACGATACCGAGCCAGAGGGCAAGGGGCTAAGAGAATGACGTCGAGGGTGGCAGGCGAATGCTTCTAGAAAATGGCCAGGCTCCTAAAGATTTCAGAGGCAATTTTCTCGACAATGCCCCGCACTTTGTTTCACGCATGGCGGCGGGCACGCGCGTCTACGGGCTCTTTGAGCGCTCGAGCGTGGACTCGGGTTTACGCGTATAAAAAGAAAAAAAAAAAAAAAAAAGATAAGAGAAGAATGCACGCATTTCTCACCCCTAGATATCCGTATACATATGCTAGGTATGTTTGAGGTATATGAGTTCATATAGAAATTCTATTGTTAAATAGGAAGTCAACCCTTGTACGGTGGTCTACCCCAGGTATCCACTATGAGGTTGAAATGATCCTCTCTTGTAGGTTAGGTATTACTTTTGGCTGGACCAGGAGTATCCTGGGTTTGAACTATGAGGTACTGCAGCGTGGTGAGATAGCAAAGAGAGAGAGAGAGACAGGAAAAAGGGAGAGACGAGGTCGAATGCGCAAAAGAGGACCAGGGGGTGCACCCTACTGTATACAGGGGGTGAGTGCCAAGGGTGGAGAGTAGGGAATACCTAAGGATGGGAGGCTGAGTGAGAGAGATGGGAGTGAGAGTGAATGTTCTAAAGAGACAAGGAAAGAGAGCGAGAAAGGTAGGTACAGTCGGTAGGTTCAAGGGAAAGAGAGAAAGCGACCAGGAGACGTCATGAGAAAAAGACAGAAGGAGACAGAGAGGGAAAGCACCCCCCCCCCCCCCCCCCCCTCCACCCTGGGCCGTGAGAAAGAGGAGAAGAGAGAGAGAGAGAGAGAGCAGTTACTAAAGGAGAAAGATAGAACCAGATCGATAAGCATTAGCGACAACTTCACAAGCACAAAATCCATCGTAGAGCGGACCATGCAAAACTACCCTCCAAACCCATCCTCGTCCTCATCCTCATCTTCCAGTACCACTGGTTAACCCAGTCTCCTCACCGTCTTGTCCCATCCATGCCGACACTTCCTCCTGTACCACACTTCCAGCAACCCTCTACCTTCGACCTCCCTCTTCGGCCACCCTTCGTACAACCTTGCATGGACCTCCGAGCATTGTGTCCCGTGCAAAACCCAACGACCTTCCTGTCGCAGTATTAACCGAGGGGTATGGGACTCTCGGTATCAGCCACCCTCCTCATGCTGCTGCTAGTTTCACTCCTATGCTCCTGATGAGAGGTTAGGTCGTGCATACCACGCGCGAACCACGTGCAAAAACTGCTTTAGGGATTTCCACTTGCTAATCCACGCCTACGGCACTGTTCTCGTCGTCACCCGTGACATCTCGTCCTCGTCGCACCTCTCAGCTGCACCGGGCAGTTTGGACCTGGGGAATATTTACAATTTTAATACTTGTTGGCTATTGCGCTACAGATTGTTCAAACTATGTATGTATATAGTTTTTAGCGGTCGGGGCGGCGGACCCGAGCTATTTTAAAAGTCATGAACACGTTATGCTGGATTTTTACGTATTTTACACTTTGCTTTTTTTGCGGTCGACCTTTTTTTTCCACTTTTTACGCGGTTTCGTATTCATAACTTTTGCGCGCGTAGCCGCGGTGACTGTATATTGAATAATAGCTGATTGGGTAATATCGTAAACAATACTGTGAAATTGCCTTTGGCCACTGGTTTCCTGATGACGATATATTGTAACTGTAAAAAAGATATTTTACAATCCTTCTAGAAGCTCTTAAGTAAATAACATTAAATCAATGAAAAATCATTTCTATAAAGTCTTGACATTCTGTAATTCTTTTTTTTTCTAATTTCTATTTCTGTCTCGTCGGCTTTATTTTGCGTTATTTTTGCCTTCATTGGTATTTTTTTTTTAATAATTCCATACAGTCACCAATGGATCCATCCGTCAAATAAACCAGCTTTGCTCGTCCGTAACGATCGCGAAAATTTGTTTTCAAAACTACAAAATGTTCTCTCCATTTTTTTTTTATTACCCAAACTTCTCACCCTCCGCGATTCCATTCTATGTCTACCTGCAGCCACCCCCCGTGGGAGGGATGACACTTTTCAGGGTAGGAATATTTATTAGAACCTCGTCGAATGGCCGAATTACAGTCGGCTCGATCGAAGCTACATTTTTCAACGGGATTTCCGTTAGAGCATTGTACAGCTACATACCTATACATACCTCTCCTACTCTTCTCTCTCATTCTCTACTGACGCTATCTCCACCTCCCCTTACTTCGCCTACTCTTCATCCCCCTTTATTCTTTCTATTCACGCAGCTCGCGCTTATTCTTCCTCAGGAATATTCAGGGGTAGTCTGAGCTGCGTGCTTCTTTATTAAAAAGGGGTATGTTTTTTCTATAAGGAGCCAGAGGGATGAACCAGCCATCCAGGACCCGGGATGTGCAAATGGATTCGCAAACTAATTTAATCGAAAGGGACGATGACAGAAGCAGAGAGAAAGAAAAAAAAGAATATGAGGGTATACCTACGTACAGTAAAAGGTCTGAAGAATAGACTTGAAAATTTTCGTATAACTAAGTAAAATGTGCTGGCTGAAAGGGATGGAGAAACCGGCGGCGGTGACAAGGGGGGCTAGTTCCTAAAAATAAGAGAAAAGTCAGCAGAATCCAAGAAGAAGGATACGGGTTGGATACCAGTATTATAGAGCTACCGAATAAGGGATTAACAAGGATAGTCTGGAATACCTGGAGAGGGTGGCACAGGAATTGCTCCGGGAGCAATTCGGATTGGAGTTCAGTCTGTAGTCATCAATTTTGATATATGTGTACAATCTGGCCAGATGATAAATCCAGGAGGATCCTGTCACTCCAGCAACCGACTACCATCCTGCTATCAACATTTATATTCATATAAATGCGCTCCAATTACGCTGGCATTGTTGCTACGAAATCGAAACGTCGGCGTTACCATTTCAGCGTAACGCCAACGTCGCTATGCATTTTGGTTATACGGTTGTACAGGAATAGTGGAGGTACCTGAAACCATAATGAATCTGCATTAGCATTGCTATCATTATCCAGCTGTTTAGCTATCCTTACAATTGTCATCAAATTGAACAGCGATGCACAGTATTGTCCAATAAATACTGTCACTTCGGCGGAATATGGTACTAAGAGAAGATTCGAATAAAATTGGTTGCTGCTGAAAGTAAATGGAATAAAATCTTATTCGATAAGAAAAAGTAGTGAGTACAGTAAGTGGTTCTGCTAGGAAGGTCTATCGGTGTAACAGTAATTCTTATACCTGACTTCACTTCTAGGTCGATCCTTATTACGGACTGTACATCCAAGGACCCATGCAAACGAAACGAGTGCTTCTACCTTATGAAGATGAATTCATCTCGCTTGGCCTCCTTTGTAATAAGAGAATTTCAGGATTCTTGTCTATGAGCTTTTCTGTAATAAAAAAAAAAGTGTGTTATACATACAAGGGAAGTAGGACAATTATTTGAGTCTTCAATATTTTCAAAATTGTTCATACTTTTTTTCATATTCCTTTCTCTTACACAAGATTACTAGAAATGGTCCAGATTTATTAAAATCTACTGGTCACTCACAGCATCCGGAACCAATTTCTTTCTGCATGACAGTCAAACGTTATACCTTTTATCTTTATATTTATATATATACACACGCGTACTACATATACCATGCATCGTACAAAATGGCGGTGGTACCATATGAAATTCATGAAACGTACGATTCGTCAGAATTACTAGCGTGTATTATCTGCTGTATCAATTCAATCTACCTGTCGAATATTCACCAGTATATTGTAAGAACCGAGACGGAAGAGCGTCGCGACGCCAAAAATTACCTATAACGTTTAGCAACCCTTGGCATGGACCGACGATCGTGAAAACGGTTGGAATCGAACGGTGCTATAGCAGAGAATAAAAAAGAGAGAAACGTGGACAAGTAGAAAGAGAAAAAAAATAGAACTTGATTGCTCGACGCACGCTCTTTGCACTTGCTTAGAAAGCATCCGTATGTGTGATACCATCCACATATGTCCTTCCATAGGCAATACAGAACGCATCACAACGGCCTCTGTCATCTATTCAGTTGACAGTCGAGCCGCGCACTCCAATTAAGGCTAATGACTTTACGCGCGCTCTTAACTTTAATTGTCACCCCTTGTACGTCCCCCGCCCTTGGTGCCTATTCGACACATCCTTTTACCTGTCAGTTTTTTTTTTATTCAACAAGACATTACCCCCTCGTTCATCCACCTTCCTTCCTTCCTCGCTACTCAACCACGCGTCTCTCTCTATTTTTCTTTTCCACTCCCACGCTCATAACGAAGAACCCAGCTACCCGAAGTGCGTCTAGACCGGTGTTAATGCATTCACTGACTGAAGTGTACGGGGGTCTACACGGTAGTTACATCGTGTGTATATACGTATCCATATATACGCTACTAAGATATATTGAAATCCGTAGTGACACGAGTACGTGCCAAATGCCACACGGTATCCCAGGCGTCTCATTAGTAACAGACCTGGCACTCCGGAGAAGATCACAGCGGTTGTCGCAATGGCACGTAGCTGATGGCGCGAAGGAAGCTGAGGACGAAGAAGAGAATAAAACGAAAGTGGGTATTAGATAAAACGGATGCTAGTAGGAAATAAATTTTTTACCGTGTGAGTACAGTGTTGTACTGTACAGTAAATTTTACAATGGTCCTTCTTGAACTTCCTGAATAATTTCACTTGCTGCAGTTTCCTTTAATTACGATCCGAACCTGGCTCTTTCTATATACTCAGTGTATATATCCTCATATGCGGTCACGTACGTATATGCACAACAGTGACATTTCTCTCTTGCGGAGGATTGTACCGTACAATGGACCATTACATAATGGAAGACAACCTAGCCTACTGCTTCTAATACGTAATGCGACTACACCGGAGCAGAAATGGGCCGTTGCTCTGACTTGGTTCTAACGGGATGAAACGGCTGGGAGGGTTGGCTCACAATCAGTATACACTTAGGTGTCTCCAGGGGTGTATACGTATACGAGGATACCAGAGAGACATTCTGTGAACCACTAGACACCCCTTGTGCAGACTACGGGATTTCGTTCTCCAAATGATGATGAGAGCAGCGTGAAACAGGGTGACCAGGTGCACCAGGACCATTTGGGTATATCGATACTGGTATCGTTTCTGGATTTTGGGTCTGTCTCTCTTATTTTCCATGTCTGTACTTCTCCTCGTTTAGCAACGACCACTGCCACCACAGACTATACGATTTGACCAACGATTCATGTTACTTCCACGATCTGGGATTATTGTTTGCGGTCAGCTTTGCGTCGTTCGGTTTGCTATGGTCCTGCCAGGCTATCTAGCCTGACCTAATCAGCAGGGCGTTCCGGCGACAAGAATCAAGCCTGTACAAAGCCAGCTGGACTATTAGGGAATCGTTGATACCGTGGGAAGCAGGGCCTATTTATTCCACCTGTTAACACGATAATGTGGATGCGTTAACGGCGATTTCGAAACGCGGATTAACGCACCGTCGAGTCCAGTTTGCGATTGCGTTTAAATCCTGTAAATAATTATAGGATTATTATGGCATAATGGACGTTGAAGAATTAATTAAATGAATATTAAAAATTACCAGAGTCACTGTTAACTCACAATTAAATTAGCCTTTACGCTGGTGTATACAATTTTTTATAATTTTATTACCATTCGTGTAAATTCAATTGTAATTTTTTGTTTTTCTCCTGCGTCAAGCTTCCTCTACATTTTGCTTATGGTCTGGGGATGTAGAGACAAGGTAAAACAAGAGAAATAAAATGTCTCATCCACCCTTGACAAATTGGAGCATCTGTTGTACCAGGCACAAAGCCTCGTATGTGCATCCTAAGGTTTTTTATTACCTCAAGTAAACATTCAGATACGTATAACCATAGGGGTACGTATATCCACGTTACGTATGCATCCAATAACACCAGCAGAACGGTATTTTAATGAGAGATACGTACACGTATCCATAATATAGGCAGATTACGATAATCTGATACTCTGTAATCCATCCTACGTTCCTATGGTAAGTACAATTTCGATATTACCTTCTGGCGCCATTTTGCCGTTCGATTATTCAAGTTAACTCTCGCGCTTCCACCGTTAAAATTCCAGCAGCAATTTACATCCATTGGTATAGTCGTTTATCTCAATCTGGAATAAAGATATTTCTCAGTGGATTGATAAGTTATATATCTTTTAGTTGTATGCAGCGATAACGCACAAAGTTCATGTAGAGATATATAAAGTTCGTATAGAGAATTCTTTAGCATTACCATGACGTGACCATATATGAATTTTAACGTGAGTGAAAAGTGTATTAAAAAAGGAAATAAGGTCCTGACGTCCAGGTCTCACTGGTCATGTCAAAGAGGTCTGAATAACGAAGCGTGGACTTTGAGGATTCCATAATTGAATTTGCTCCAGGATGTGGGAGAAACGTAGGAAACTCATGCGCTATCAGTGATATATGACTTCTGGCCTACGCGGTTGGCAGCAGTGTGTGTGGCTAACCCTTTTTTTTTTTGTATTTTCTACCAAACCGACCATCGCCAACTTCTTTTTTTCTAGCATTTCGGAGCGTTTCTCTTTTTTCTCACCCTTTCAACCCGTCCATTTCTTCTCTCCCTTTGACTGCATTTGTTTTCCTCGCTCTCTCTCTCTCTCTGGTCCAACACAGCAGCACCATTTTCCACGAGTATTGTCTCTCAAGTAACCGCGTGTTTTCGGTATTCTCCTGCGAGCAATTCGTCGCGTGCCGTTTTCATGGGCGCCGGGCGCCTTTGTTCAATGAACGGCGTCGCGACACCGTTGCCCGTCTTCCTTTACACTTTACCTTAAAAAAAAAAAAAGAAGCAGAGCTCACTCCATGCCCTTTCTGATGCACATGCTTACCGAATATTTCCGCTTGATTAAATTTGCCGAGCGTCGCGACGCCTAAAAACCCTCAGTGGTAATGCTAGAAAAATAAAAGAAAGGCGTATAGCAGTTGTTATTCTATTGATATTCTACATACCAATATACCATGTAACAACAGAATTGCTGTAGAAGCGACGTCAAGCGTCGAGGTGTCCAGTGTAGATATCACGACGCCATCATATATTTGTAAACCTGCGGAAAATGCGCGAGAACGCCGTTTAAACGGGGTCTCTCCTGTATATATCTATATACGTATACATGGTGTAGAAGGACGTGTCTGGGGAATGAGGGACGCCGGACGTCCTCATGTCACGTCACTAATCCAATGCGCCATTGAACGCTCAGTGAAATTCACTCAGTGAAAAATAAAAGGATACGGCCACGCCGGTTTGCCGTTGATTTAGCAAATTAGCGCGTCGCCCCGGCAGGTTAATGATTTTATTACTACGATCCCTTGCTGAGACTACGTACCCTTGTTGAGAACTCGACTTTCCACAGTCAAAGGGGTGGACGAGATATTAAACCCATAGGAAATCGAGGCGAGTGAACAAAATGATATTGACTGTGGCCGAACGGCACGCCAAGTGGCCGCCTTATATTACCGCAGTTTATCGTCGTAAATCCATGGCGACGCCGTGCGTCCCTTCCGACTTGGCAGGCGACGATAAGTCAGAAACCTCACTGTAAACTCTCTTGTACCCTCTGGCCTCGCGCACCTACACCGCAACTTCCTTTAGCTGCACCTAACCTCAAAACAGAGCCGGACGAGTTTCACATTCGAGGATTACGAGAGAGAACGAGATACGGGAAAAGATTACGCGAGAGAAAGTCCCCAACAAGATAAATGGCTCCTGGCGTTACTACCTGGACGCGCGAGAATGATTTATCCGACTTTTTAATGAATCCCGACGGAGCAAATGCTGAAGTGATGGGATACCAAGGGAACTAGTGCTGCCAGATGGACGTTCAGTTTTGATTGGAGGATCCGGTCTAAAGCAAGATTTGAATATTTCGAGGTTCAGTTTAGATGCTGCTCTTTTACATTACTGCACTCGGAGTATATCCATGGGTTTATTTGATATACTTATGTATTAATTGAAATGATTAACAAAAATTATAAAATTCTTTATTACACAAGTACAGCTATACACAGTGTATCAGTATCCTATATAGAGAAGCACGTCGGTCCTGGTCGGTACAAGAATTCACATGGAGTATTACCAGGAGAAGATGTTCAGAGATTGTGCCCTCGAGCAAGACGTATTCGGGTCACCAGTACCCACCCACCCATCCAGCAGCAGCATCCCCTTACCGTAGATCCTC